AAACATGAGGATTTAATGAATTTCACTTGAAAAGGGTCTCTCAGGAGTATTGTAATGATCCGAAATTCAGGATTTTTGTGAATATTAAGGAAAGGCAGCATGCGTTTTAAGCAAAGTGTTTAAAAATTGTTTTATTTTCTTCAACGTATTTTCCAGTCAAAGGGGCAGGTGGTTGACACACCATTTACACAACTGGGGTACTTTTAGAAAGATCTTAAAGATTACCTCCTCATGTTGCTTTGGAGATTCACTTGTAGCAAGCCCTTAGGTTGCTTCCAGCACCAGCAATTCCCAACAATTCATACAGGAAAGTTGGATTGGACAGCTTTTTCTTGCTCATCAGCTTAACTTTGTAATACTAGAATGGAATGATATATCAAGCAGCAGCTTTGTATCGGCATGTCTATGCATTTTAAAGAGTCACAAAAATAATGCTTTTAAAAATTTTAAACAATAATTCTTTCGGCATAGGAAAAGAAGTCAGACAGTAATAAGTTGAACCATTGTTGTACTCAGCATTTTTAAGAATCCTAAAATTATATATTTAAAGAGGTAATTGTCTGTTACAGATAAAAGAATACCATGGAAAAACATGAAAATACAGCTGTTTTTAAAAACTGAACTCTTGCTCTATATATTGTAGCTTTTCAGACAAATTTGGACAAAAGTGCATTTAGGTGTTTTATCAAGTGCCTTTTTTACTGTAGGTTGGATTTAATACACAAAAATTCCGTTAGAGCCATGCAGTAGAGAAGACTTTCCCTCAGTTTCAACATGTTAAGGGAAGTATGAATCCCTAGCATGACTATCATAAAGTTACTTGAAACTGGAGAGCAAAAGCCTCTGAAAGTGTGGTCTAGAACTGCAAGTACATATTTTTCCTTTGTTTAAATTAATTAGATCTGCTTGCATGGATGTTTTTGATAATCCACAATTCTGAATGATCATAAAGTGTGTATAACATTTGATTGTTTAAAAAGTGATGTTAATCCAACCAAATCAGTTTTTCTGTTGGCAGTAAATATTGCAACTTTTGATAACAAGAGAAAAAATGAAGTCAGTATGTCGAGAAATTTTGAAAATTTATTGTTTAAATTTTGACGCTACAGACGCTAGGTGAGTAGCATTCCTTAGCTTTCCCAGGGTTTTCATTATGGCTGCTAGTTAATAACCAGAAAGTAGACTTCCATTTCTTGGGAAACTGTAAGGTATTGAAGTTTTTTGTTTCACAATATGTTGGAACAGTTTTGATCTGCTGCAGCTAGGCAGCAGAATTAGTAAACATCTGCTACAACAAACACTGTAATGTTCACATATAGAAGTGGAGCAACTACCACCCATGATCAGAGCACTGGTTATGGCAGAACAGATTATTATCCTTTCCCTGGTTTGGTCTGGGCAGAGACTTCAGACTCTTTCACATCCCAGGTGAATGCTATGATGATCTTAGCTTTTCATTGCTCCAAATACACTTACTTGGGCTGAAGTTCAAAGTTTTGGCAAAATTGATATGTTTCTACAGTAAAACTGCTTTTGCCTTCATATCTGAAGTGAAATGAAGTGGGTTTTTTTGTTTCTGTACATTTGAAAAACAAACATTATATATACATACATATATATACTCCACATCTGTCATCTTAATGTCAAATGACGTCATCTGGTGTTATTTGCCATTCTTTAAATCAGGATAAATATGTTTTGTAATTGATTATTTTTTGTTCTGAGTTATTTCACAGTTTTTTGATCATGGAAGTTTTATTATGTAAAAATTGGGCTACTAGTAATGTTTTGCTTCACTATATATTTTTGGCCTGCGAGGAACTTCAACTGCTAGTTTTGGTTTTGGTTTTTTTTTTTTTTTTAACAAGTATTTAATTCTTTTCATATGCATACTAATTTTTGGTGTCAAAATTACATGCAAGATTTATCATCTTTATTACAGATTGCAGCTTTACAGACATTTCAGAAATAACAGCTGTTCAACATTTTTTGTATTGTCCACATGGATATTACACTGATAAAATTGGATTTCTCCTTTGTTTTCAGTTACCACTTAACAAGCCAAAAGCAGCAGATGACTCTTGATAGCAAACATAAGAAAAAGTCTCGGTTAAAGTAGTTGTAAGTAAAAGTACAGTTGTAAAGTAGTTAGCAAAAATTACAGCTTAGCAGTGGTTTCTAATTAATTCTGGGACTCAGCGCTTCATTATGTTAAGTATTACTAGATCAAATTTAAACTTCATCTATTGGGTCCCAAGACTTAGTATAAGTTTTTAATGGTGCATTACATAATTATGTTTTTAAAGGTATTGCTCATAAAGCTGAGTTTTGTTGATATAGTCAGTATTTATATCTGCTAGTCCTAACTCTTCTTAAATAGTAAACTCTCCACACGTGTAAAATTCAGACTTACTTTTGAGCATACTGAAATTGGTGCATGCCACTACTCAGTCAAGAATAATTATAAAGTACCTTCTCTTAAACCTTCTGCTGAAGTTGTTTTCCCTAGTGGTTAAAGATAACTGTCTGATATATGTGGATGTGAAAAGCTACCACTGAGTGCAGCGGTTTTGTTTCTTACATGGCTTAGCAAACAAGGTTTGTTACTGCAGCTTTGATTCTGTAGCTTCATTTGGCAGGGTACGGGCTGGATTTCCTTTTCTTCAGCTCTGTTGTGGGCAAGATTGTTTTGATGTATTTATCAGCAGTGTTTAATGGAAATCTAGTCTACTTTTTCCAGCTACTGACCACCCCTTTTGCTGGTTGTTAGTGTTTAGGTTTTGCTAAATGACAGTTAGGGAGAAGAGTAAGTGCCTCCTTGTCTGTTAGAGATCTTAAAAGTCTTTAGTGCTGTCACTAAGATGTCTGTACAAATTGGGACAAAACATTTGGCTTAAAGATCCAGACAATTTTTTCATCTACTTGAAAAAAGAACCTAGATTTGTTTGATGTCAATGTATATGATAAGGATAGAAATAATTACAACACGTGTATCATTTTCTAGGAAGAATTAGAAAAAAATCTGGTATAAATGACAAGTAAGTATAATAAGGCAACTATTTCAGGATGATGGTAAAACAGTTTGCGGAAGTGACCATTCTAATTCTAGAAGACTGATGGCACTTTGGTTAGAAAAACAAATGTAATTACTTTCCATTGGTGAAGAAGCATCAGTGTTTGAAGGAAACTGATTTTATTTTGGTAAATGGATTGATGACAGTATTACTGCTTCTGTACTCTTAGGTAATTTTTAATAAGTACATTTAGGAAAAAAATATGGGAAGAAGTCTTTAGGAAATATAAAAAAAAATAACTGTGATATCAATGGGCTGTGTGTTTGTACATTAATGTAATTGCTTAATAGTAGCTTCACTGGCATCTATTCAAGATTGTATTATTAGAACTTCAAAAATTGCTTTCTAGAATACTACCTAAAGCTGGTGCCACATTGTAAAGAAAATGGAGTTACCTTATGTGTGACCTATATGGTATTTTTTTATGCCTAATGAAACTTGTCTGTGAATGCATTTCTGTGCATTACTAGTCCTTTTGATTCTGGAATATTCTTCTAATGAAGAGAAACATTCTCGCTGCTTCTTTTAATTCTTATTGATGAACCTTACTCTGTAATGGAAGACTATATTTCTTAAGCAGTTCCTGCAGTGTTATTGCTTATTTCCTGAATGTAGATTTAGCTCTGTTTCTGTCACAAGGGGAGTTATAGCACTGATGCCATTTTATTACAGTCAGTGGTTAATGAACCAAAGTAATAAATCATGTTGCTATTTAATTGCAGAATTCAGTAATTTAACTGTTCTGCCAGCACAAATGTTGACTTGATCCCTGTTTTTGACAAATAGCTGAATTTAATCTTTTAGTGAAGTCTCTACTGTTAAGTGTTGACAATGAAATTATGTTTTTCTCTAACTTAATAACAGATAAATGTTCAAAAAGTGACATATGTAGAAATACAGTTTTGTGGGGATAAGCTTTAAGATTTTCCTTTTTGTCGTTTGCAGTAATAATAATACTACTCTTATTCTTGTGCAAAATTAAAGTAGTGTTTCCCTAAATTTATGGTGATTAAGCATGCATAGACACCTTAACAATCATAAAGAATACAGTGGATATACCAGAGAAGAACAGACAAACTCAGTGCTTGAGTTTAGCCATAATTTAAAACCAGGTATAATTGAGAATGGTGATTGATAAAGTGTATTAATTTTTTAAGCAATTTGGTGTCTCGAAACTGTCAGTCAGTGCTCTGCAAGCTATACTTTGGTTTTGAAGTTATATAAATTCTTCTAAGCTCAGTCCTACAACTCTTAAAGTATACAAATACTTGTTTTAATTTCATCTGTATATTCTCTTTTAGTTGATGTGTATGCTGAATGCAAAGTGGAAAAGTGGAGTGCGTATTTGTTGACTTGATACTACTGGCATAATCAGTCTCTTAAAAAAACCTCAACAAAACCCCAAAATAATCTTTATTTTCAGCATAGGGAGAATGAGAAAGATAGGAATATCTAAGAGGAGCCTGCAGATGCTCACACTGCAGTCTGACCCATGATCTTGTAAATATCTCCCTAAAATAGTGTAATTGGGATTTAAAAAAAAAAATCCTTAGCTTGTTTCATTTAACTTGAAATACATTTATTTGAAAAACTGCTTTGAGTTTTTCTCAGTCATTGCTGGTTGCTTTATGTTTTCTTACTTTCCTTCTTAGTGGATAGTCTGCAAGAACACCAAATGTTGCTAATGAAGTAAACCAGCCTGTTTCTTCTTGTAATCTAAGACAGTTCTAAGTAGATCACTTAGGAGAATTGGGGTCCCTTTAAAGTGTAAATTTTGCACTAATGATAATATTTTCAAAAATATTGTAAGCTTTCTCAGGACTTTCAATATCATTGCTCTGTGTGTATGTTTCCTGCCGAAATCATAACTGACAACTTTTATAATTGTCTCTTCTTATATTGGTCTTGCATTTTTCGTATGTGTAGGTTGCTATGGTGTTGATGGAGAGAGTGACTCTATCATGAGCTCAGCTTCAGAAAACTCCACGGAACCTTGGTTTTGTGATGCATGCAAATGTGGTGTCACACCTAGTTGTGAATTGTGTCCTAACCAGGATGGGATCTTCAAGGAGACTGATGCAGGGAGGTAAGACTGAAAAAGTGATGTTTTGAATTGGATGTCATCTTAACTTTTAAAAGTTTAGGTTTTGCCCTAGTCTGTTCTATAGGACACATTGTCATAAATTAAACTTTGTTGTTGATATCCTGTCTCTCTCACCTCACTTTTGAGTTGAGTGAACTTTGGATAGTCAATCACCTCTTTTTTTTTTTTTTTTTTTGGTGATAATGTTCTTCATGCCCATTATAATATTAGGGAGGTATTGTCCTAAGGTGAATTTAAGCATGCAGATCTATGGAGCTAAGCATGTACCTAGGTGAAACAAAGATCACCATTTACTTCAGGAACTGCTAAGTCCTATTCTTCAGTATGAAGTCACCATATATTGTTTTAGGTATATAGATGTTTTACTGGATAGACTAGAAAACTTTTCTTTGTTCACTTGAACTACTAGCATTATACATCTTTTTTAACAAAAAAAACATACTAGTGAAGGTGATGGGAGTCTTGAAAAAGAAACTTGTTTGCTAATTTGCATCAGGAATGCAGTTTATATTTTAAAAAAAGCTTTCCTGTGTAGAGTAAGTTAATATCTCATAAAATCTGGCTCAGTATTCAGATGTCTGCAAGGATAAGAGCATGAAAAACTTCTCTCACTTAACCAATGGCTTGATCTATTGACAGCAGCGACTGGGGGTCAGAAATCTAAGAAACGTGTAGTTTTGGGGTTTTCCTCAAGCTGGGAGGTTGCGGTGAGAAATCAGGGTGCTGAGTCCCTCGAGCCTCACTGCTGAATAATGGTATTGTGTTCTAGCAAGGACAGCTCGTGGAGATGATGACAGTGGTTCTCTGATCGTGACTGAGCTTGTAGTATTTGGTATCTGCTGTCAGTCTCTAGAATCCGTGCATGTGTTCTGCTAGTTCAATTAAATCAGCTGCCAGAAAACTGCATTTTATGCCTTGCCAGTATTGTGCTGATTTCCAGGTTAATCCTGAAGAGTAGCAAAACATGGATGTGCTCTTCTTTAGTCAATAATGCCACAAAAAAGAGCAAAGAAGTCTGCAGCAGAGGGGGAAAACACCTTCCAGATTTCTTGTCATATTGGACTGTGAGAAGTATCTGGCGGTTGGGAAAATCAAAGCATGTGCTCCATTTCAAGGAAGGAAAAGTAGACTTTGTCCTTTCTGTAGTGTGCTGCTTTGTGCAAGGTAATGGCACTGCAACCTTGTACAAACTGTGCTCAAGTTTATTGACTTTTAAGTATGACAGAAGTGGGAGGACAACACCATGCTTCGTTTTAGGAGAGTGAAGGACTGGGTGTTGCTGATGTCAAATAATGGGGGAAAAAAAAAAAGAAAAAACCCACAAAAACCCCAAAATTATATTTAAATTGTGTTAAAGGTATTCAGACAGACCTAGTATATTGTAATTTTGAATCATGCTTTGATTTTTGAGAGTATGCTTCAGTTCTGATAATTTGCGGGCAGAGATAGGCTATTTAGGAAGCCCTTCAGGTCTAACTTGAGAGTAAGTGGATTAATTCTCATGTCTTCCATTCCTCTCACATCTGGAAAATAAATGTAGATGTAGATATTAACGGTAATTAATTTTCTATAATAAAGGAGAGACTAGGAACCCTATGTATCAGTACGGGCTGGGGACTGTTCTCTTGGAGGGCAGCTCTGGGGAAAATGACCTTGGAGTCCCAGTGGACAACAGGATGACCATGAGCCAACAGCGTGCCCTTGTGGCCAAGAAGGCCAATGGCATCCTGGGATGCATTAAGAGCGTGGCCAGCAGGTGGAGGGAAGTTATTCTCCCGCCTCTGCTCTGAGCTGGTGAGGCCTCACCGAGAGTGCTGTGTCCAGTTCCGGGCTCCTCAGTTCAAGAAGAACAAGGAACTACTGGAGATGATCCAGCACAGGGCCACTAAGATGATGAAGAGCCTGGAGCACCTTCCATGTGAGGAAAGGCTGAGAGAGCTGGGGCTGTTTAGCCTGGAGAAGAGGCGGCTGAGGGGGGATCTTACCAATGCTTATCAAAATCTGAAGGGTGGGTGTCAGGAAGATGGGGCCAGGCTCTTCTCAGTGGTGTCCAACCCCTGCCATTCTGTGAAATCTGTGAAATTATCAGTGATGTCTGGTTTGTGACTAGTGTGACTCTGTTTTGATGGGGATTTTTGATTTTTTTTTTTTAAGACTTTGACAGTTAAATAGTTTTTCCGTACATTTTACGATTATATAAATTGCAGGTGTGGGGTAGTATACAAAGCTTTCAGATGCTGGGCCTGTCATAAGGTTTGCATTGATCACTGTAGCAGGGGTAAGGCAATGCTTTGTTTTTGTTGCTTTGTTGAGAGGAAAGAGAAGCTTTCTTAATCCTGTTTGAATGTATCTGAGGTGTAAGATATGACTGCAGAATTTTATATTCCTACTAATGATGGTGGATGAACTGGAAAGAAACAACTTTAAATGTTCTGTATTAGTACAAATACTTCAAAATTGAGAAATGTCAACATGTGTTACTGTAAAACCTTTTGTGTTTTTATAATACAAATTCATGGACATTACTATTTACAGTTAGCTATGTAATGTAGAACAACATACTTGGTACTAGCAAATAGCAAAATAAAACTTCTCTTCACCCACTGGTTTTCAGTGGTCTTCACGGTTTTTCCTACTCACTGGGAGAAGTTTCCTAGTTGCACAAATGCTAGCAAGTGACTTAAAATGAAGTAAAACTTTGATCTTATCTGTGTTAGTAAGCATTTGTTTATGTTATCACTAAGTACACAGCTGTCTTGTAGTACATGCATAAGCATATCCATCTCTCTATTTTTTTCCTGTGTTTGTTCCCCAGTTCTTTATTGTTTACTTTGTATTTTTACTTTCTGGTCTTACACAGACTTTCCTGTTGTAATAATCTGGTCCTGCCATCATTAAAAGCTCAGCAGAGCTCAGAATGAGGTTTTGGAAAGCCTTTTTTGACCTACTGGGTTGTCTGTCTTCAGTAAAGTAAATACAGTATTAAAATGTCATAAGTTGACTCAGGTTTTAGGGATTAAATTTTACATGCCTTTGCGTTTCTCCCTCAGTTTGTATTTTTTCACAATAGCAAAAACATCTTGAGTTTGTGTTGAGAATAAAGAGATAATGAGGGTATTCATAATACTGAACTTTGACCAATGGATGCAGATGCTAGCAATAACTTTTGGAGGCATCTGTGTTTCTCCACTGAATATACATTGAGCAGAGCTTCACAATTTGTAGCTGAAATGCATTTTAAAGACACATATTCAGCATGTAAAAGAAATCTTGTTTTCCTTTGTCTTCTACACGCATCTTATAAAAGGGAAACAATGAAAGTAAAAGAAAGTACTGTACTATTTTAAAAAAAATTATACAAGTGAGTCAGAATTTGTAGTGAATAACTGTTACTCCATAGAAGCAGTTAGGCTTTTTTAAAAATACTTTTGGGGTTGAGATCATCAGTTTCTGGTCTGTCCTAGGTTCAACAGTGTCTGTATGTCTCCCATCTAAAGCTGTTACACAATTAAATTTCACTTCTCAGTTCTGTTTTCTATTTTAATAATAATGCTGCTATATGGAAAAAATGTTTTGTAAGACTCAGGTCAATTGTCTAAAAGGAAATATGACAATCAATATCAGCTGGCAAATTTTACTTCAGCCTTTTCATTCCTGTGATCTGTAAGGCAATTTTAGCACTTTACCATTATACTGCAAATTACATATAATAGAACCTACAGTCAACACTCTGAAAATTGCTTAAATTTCTTCCAGTAAAATGGTAGTATGCTTTTGGTTAATGCGGAAGTGTTTTCTTTGTGACACTGGTTCTCTGTGCAGAAGCATGTGCCTACTTCGGTGATTGTGAGCATTAACACATTAATTTATTAGTGTTCTTATATTTTAATCTGCTAGATAATGTGCTATGGGTATCATGAATAAGTGTAAGTTTATTCTCCCATTTGAATAGAGCTTATATACTATAAAAAACAAATACTAACTACCTTGTGAAAATTCCAGTTCTCTCTTTCTTTCTATAATTTATTTACAGATTTGAATTCTCAAGGAGCACTACAGGCTTAAGTGTAGAGTCTTAGGGCAGGCAGCATCCATTATGTTTTCATTGTACTTGGTAAACTGCAACCCAGTTCAGTTCTTTGCTAGAAATGCTAGCAGAGAGAGACTACTGAATAACAGAATCCTTTAACTCACCATTGCTGTCCGTCCCCTTACCACCTTTTTAAAAGAAATTTGTCATATGCATCAGTGCTGGAAATTGCAGAAAGGCGAGACCAAGCCTATTCAGTTTCTCTTCATAATCAAGTTGGAATAATTTCTCTGTTCCTATGTGAAAGGTGAATCATTAGAATAATGAGGTGCTTAATTTCTCGGCGGAAGCCTTTTCACATTAACCTCTGATATTTCACAAGCATAAATGTGAATTTTTGAAACTTTTTCTCATAATGCTGTTATCCAGGAATATGAATTCTGTTCTTGTTTCGGTATGGAGTTTTTCTTCTTCCCTAATCAACATCTGTCATCATTGCTCCAAGCTAAATGGATGGTAAAGTAACAAGGAAGATTATTCTTCTTTGATTACCCAATTTGTCTTAATTACAAGCTTCTAAAACATGTGCAGCTAAACAAATGAGCAGGAAAATATTTAGAACTGGTATTAAAAACAGATGAAATTGGTTCAGCTGTGAACTTGACTGATTGTGTATGTTTTTTAATAAAGATCTAGGTCTGAGTTCGCATCTAGGTGGTTAAAGAACTGAGGCACTCGTGTGCCAATCACACTGAAATGGCAGTATAAATCTGTAATACTATAATACTTGGGTGACATGTACTAAAACATTTTGAGAAGGTCAGTGCGAAGCAAGCAGCCTGCTGTTGGATTTATCATAGATAAACTCCTACAGAGTGCAGCAGCATTTAATACACCAGTGGAGCAAGAAAAAACTGTGCAAATTAAATTGAGAAGCAGCTGCTTGTAGAAGATGTGTATCTTTATATTAGACTTCGGAGGGTACATTTAGGAGGCTGTATTAAAGTATCAGAAGGAGGCTATATTAGTGTCAGAAATCTCCAACCATAACCTTGGATTTTTTGTTAATAATAATTGTGGAGATCTGTAACTTCTGTTTATGCACATCTGTTCTATATAACACATCTTAATCAATGGAAGGGTTTTAGGGCTTATTTTCTATGATTTCAGATTATTTTTGTTTACAAACAAGCAGTCTCTTAATCTCATTCTGCACGTGGTATTTTGCTTAAAAAAAATTGATTCCTTTTGAAAACAAGCAGAGTATGCTCATTTAAAATAGGTATTTACTTTATGGTTCTGTGATTCTTAGTAAATGTGTAATATATACCAAAATACACGTTATGCTCACACATATGCTTTAATTTTTTTATAAGAATATTTCATAAAGGTATGAGAGTGATTTTGGGCTAAACTGTAGCCAGTTCTGGAGGCAGTGTGGAAGGGTGGAGATGGTATCAGGTGCTCCATTGCCCTGCCCCTCCCCCCGGCCCCTGGAATATCTTGTGCCTCCATTATTTTTGTGGGGAGGCATACAGAAGGTGGACTTTTCATATATTAATGAGAAGAATCTTATATTTTTTGCATATAACATTGTATTAAGTAAGAAGCTTGTGCTGGCATGCTGGAGTGTTTAAACTGTAATAAAGGCAGTGATGAGCTTTATTCCCAATCTGAGCAGCAAGAAGTTTCTCAGATTGTTCTTTGGCAGCCAGCATGCTGTCATATTTTTACCTTGTTATTTAAAAACAAGGTTGTAACTCATCTTTCAACTTTAAATTTTCTTTGAGTCTTCCAGTGGTTAATGGTGCTCTGACCAAACCATTTTGTGGTTGTGGAGAACCCTAGTAAAATCTGTAAAGACAAGGCAATACAGTTGCTGCATGTAAATGTGTATTTGGAGTATATGTTCTTCTCATTCTTTTAGGTTTTCATGTTTTACTCAAACCTGAGTGATTTAGCAATAGGGTAAAAACTTGTTTTCAAATACACAGGTGAAAAGAGTCTTGTCAGATATGACACCATGGATCAGTGAGTGTTGTGACTTATGTTAGAATTACTGAGAAATTTCTTATAGACTGCAGTGAGTTAATAGTTTCTAAGTAGTTTCTTACTGGGATTTTGCTGTTATTCAGTTATTATCATGGACTGTTTTTTGGCAATATGATACATAATCTGACCATCAATTTGGTACATTACAAGATCATTGTTTTCTTTTGTAAAGACTTTAATGTGTATGTATTTTTTGATCTTGCTACTCAACCTTTCATTTTTTTTTTTTTTTTTTTTTATTTTATGTTTGGATATATAAGCCATATATAATTAACATGACACTTATTTCTGACTATGATAAATTCCAGCACTGTAGGTCTAAGGGCATGCTGATTTGGGAAACATGGGAAATACATGTAAATTACATGTAGCTCCTAATTAATATAACTGTTGGCTTCCATATTTCCCTCATCTGTAGACAGATACTAATAACAGCTTAAAACATGCTGTTTAAGTTCAGCTAAACTCAGGATCTTACTGCTGTGATCCCAACTGAATTATTTTTATTGACACACAAAACAGAACAGGAAGAAAAGAGAGGCTATACAGTGGTAGAAGATTGGAACAAAAGAGCACAGCAGGATATTTCGGCTCAGTTATGTTTGAACTCTTTAACTGTGTCCCACGTTACTTGGGAGCTCCTAGGTTGAAAGTGGTAGCATTTACCTCTGCAATTATAAGGCTGTTTTCTTGAGTATTTTCAAATGATAGAAAGTAGCAGTCTTGTACTTCTTCCTATGACAGGTTGCTCCCATGTAGTGACTTAGCAAGTGGTAGTAAATAGTTTCTGGAATTTTTATAAAACAGATTATTTTGGGGAGGAACACTTTGTTTTTTGGAGGAGTTTCTCTGCTGATTTGAGTCATGCATGCTGTGTAGAACAGATTTTGAGTTTGTTACTAACTGATAGTTGTAACAATGAGAGTTGGATCTTTTTAGAAAGTGTTCATTATATAAGAAGATGAAAATATGTTTTCTGCTGCAAGGTTGTCTTTTGGTAACAGAGTGTCAGGAGATTATGAAGATATCTGTCAAAGGCAGACTTGAAGCTGAAGCCTTTATCATTGTGTTGTGTTTAATTACTAGACAATGAGGTCGAGATTCATGCTGTCTTATTTAATGCCCCTTAGGGCTGAAGGCTTAGACCTGTTACCCTCTGTTTTGTTTATGGCCATTGAAGAAATGCACAGCTAAGTTAACAGTCTGTTCATCTGAATTTCAGATAGGCATTTCTGTAAGACAACTCTGGTGTGTTTATAACTGAATGCGGCTCCTACCTGTGTTGCTTAAAACTAGTTAGTTTTGGTGATAATAACATGCGTAACTATAACAGTGCAAAGTCTGATCGGTGCTGTGTTGTCGATACTTCATAGCTATATGCCTAGAGCTCAGTTTTGCAGTGACTGCTTGTATAATTTTGTTCCTCCCCTTCCCACTCCCTTCCTCATCATGAAAATAACAGTCTGCCTTAGCTTTGTAAGTAATGTCAAAATCTTTATATGTTTCACATTGCATGCAAAGTGGTGTGGAGCCTCACATGGGAGCTATCAGAACGAAAAGGTGATGGTAGCCCAGCCCTTGATCCAGACAGGCAGAGCAAGCCCGGTGGCTTTGAAACACCTTGCTCGGTGGTTCAGTATGTGAATTGCTGTGTTCCAAATATGCTTTCTCTCCCTGCTTCTAATGTACTTTCCTTCAAAGAAATTTGTTCTAGTATCTATAACATTTAGAAGACACTTCAGAATCTGTAAATGGTGAGTAAAATATAAAATCAAAATGTAGATAACAGTAACCTAATTTTATCTGCTGTTGTAGGTGGGTCCATATTGTTTGTGCCCTCTATGTTCCAGGAGTGGCATTTGGAGATATTGACAAGCTGCGGCCAGTAACACTCACAGAAATGAATTATTCAAAGTACGGTGCCAAGGTAAGTTTAGAAGAGATGTACTACCAATGAGTAGCTTCATTTTGCATTTTTACTTAGAATAACATACAACTTCCCAACTGTATTTTTCTGGTTTATAGAAATTGCTGTGAGGTTCGGGACTAGAAATGAGATGAAGTTTATTTATAGTTGTTATACCATTGCTTTTCTCTCTCTCTCTTTCTTTCTGTTTCCTTTACCAGTGCCCTCTATAATTTCTGTCACTGTTTGCCCCCTAATTTCCCTTATTTTTTATGCAGGTGCTAATTACTTAATTGGAAAGTTAGTTACTGGCAGATTGCCAGAATGTGGGTGGAATTGATTAAGAAAGTGACAGACATACATTCAGTAAGAATTACTTCAGGTTGTATATAATTCTAAGCTAGAATACATAAAAGAAGGTTGCTGCAAAGAGTATTTAAAAAAATCACACACAGCAACATGGTGTCCTCAACTGGAACAGAAAAACATCTCTAAAATTAAAATGGTTTTACATGTAAACGTTTTCAATCCAGATCAAAAGTGATCATGCACAAACCGTACAGAAAACCATTGAAATGTGCAGAGGACAGCAATCAGTAATTTGCTAAGTACTGTTTCTATAGCTAATGGAGACAGTGTAGAGAAGCCATTATCTATCAGACTAATGTGTGAGGGAAGGTGGTTGTACTCCTGCTGCTCCAAATGCATTTGTGGATAGTCAACTTCATTTTCTGCAATGTCAATTTGAGTACCAAATGAAAATATATGGTACATTTTTAAAAATACATATATAAAATAAATTGAAACACTTTGGATTGCCCATGTAGAACATCTCTGTATCAGAAGCAAGTTCAGCATGGGCCTGCTGAGGCATTGAGCGTTATTTAGAAATGTTTGTATAATAAAAAGGACAAGGTTCCCAAACCCCTATGAATTTTTGTTGCAATGAATAATGAATTTTATTTTTTATTAACATGAGTGATGTATAGGAGCAGTACTAAGAATGTGGGAGTATTTTAATATTGTAAGATGAAAATGAACTGCATAGATGACACTCGGTCTCACTGGCCTGTAAGCAAATGCTGTTTGCTGTATGAAATGTGGAAGTTACAGCTTAATTAGCTAAGTCTCCCTCTGCAAAACCACTGTAATACAAGAAATGAAGTCAAAAAATATTGTCTGTTACATGTTGCTGTTGCACAGCTAAAGGGTGACCTTTAGTGTGTGATGTTTTCAGATTCTTCAGTCACTGAATTTTCTTTGCCATTCCTTCCTGTTGTTTAGCTTTCTACATAGAGATGTTTTCTGTAAGTGATGCACACCTGTGTAATGTCAGATGATCTTTATGCACTGGATAGCAGCACGGCTTAAGCAGCCCATGTTCCCATTTGCCTGTTCCTGCTTAGGTGCTCATTAGTTTGCTAGCACAGCTGTTTGGTATGAATTTGTGATGAAACAGACTGAATAATTGATCTCACTAAAAAAGTTGGGTTTTTTCCCAGGTCACATTAGGGGTTGTCAGTTTGTTGGGTTGCAAATGGCTTTGTCTAGAATATATGTAGCTGAAGCACTAGTGCAGTGTTTAAGTGAATAATAACCTCCTTCACTGATACTTATGTGTTTTGAGTATTTTTGCATTGTCACACATTTGCTCCTCAGTCATTGCTTATCAAAGGACTTGTATGTAATTATCTACAGTTCTCGGTCATCCAGAGCACTGTTCTTTTTATGTTGTTTGTCCTCTGAACTTGTTGAATAATTGAACACTTGCTGAGCAGTAAGTGTTGTTTTCTGTTGTAACTGTAACTGTGCATGAATTGCCTAGGTGGTATTTACTTGTTGCCCTGAATGGGAATACAAGACATGGAAGTTCATATAAAAAAATCATCCAACGTGCTGTTTTGGTGGTTTAAGCACTTTTCCATTGCTATTTGAAAATGAAATCAATAGTGGGCCTTGGGAAGGGGTAAAAAGCTTTAAGTAGTGTCAGCTGTCGGTAGCATACTTGGTTTCTGTACCACACAAAACTACCTGTTTGGTTTTTCTAAGTAAGATGTAAATTATCAAATATTAGCAAAACACACCTGATATATTTACTGTGGCATTTTCCACCCTTTAAAGGAATGCAGTTTTTGCGAAGACCCTCGTTTTGCCAGAACTGGTGTATGCATTAGTTGTGATGCTGGGATGTGCAGAGCTTATTTCCATGTGACCTGCGCTCAAAAGGAAGGCCTGCTCTCAGAAGCAGCAGCAGAAGAGGTAGCTATAGAAAGGATATAATAAGAGTTGTATCAAAATCTTGTTAAAGTGACCTGAAATTGTGCCTTTTTTGCTCGCTAGCCCCGGGCAAAGTTTTTGTAAATTGGTAGCAAATCGTAGGCTGAGGAAAGGATCTGTCCAGTGAGGGCTTGTTGCTCGCCAAATTGTCCATTTTTGAGCACCTTTTGAAATGACCTGGAAAAACGGATAGAGAAGACTAACACAGAAGTTGGCTTAATAGACTATTAGTACAGGCATGACTTGTAGCTCTAATTCTTGAACTTCACCTAGGTTGACATACTTAGGTAGCTGTTAATGTAGTATAATAATCTTTTTCATACCAAATAGGACTGCATTGAAAAACTAACTACATAACTAATGCCATTTTTTCATGCATGCTTTCCAGTATTTTCTTCAAATTGCAGTACAGGTATATCAATTTCCTTGTGGTAACATTAATCTTTAGGAATCAGAATGAAAAGCAAACATTTATATTCTACTGATAGCTTTTTAATATCTGTTCTTACCAGTTTTCTTCCTGTAGTATGATTAAAGCAGTTTAGATTGGAAACCTCTACTTCCAAATTAAGTTTTACGGTGTAAGTACTTTTAGGTTGCCAAATTTCATTCTGCTATATATCATGTGGATTAAGCCTCTCGTGTTCATAGTTGCACAGTTTAACCTCTTACTGCTTTAGGAAGTACCGCAGGTAACACACAAACAAGCATTACTTGCGCTATTGACATTGACACTTCTGTTTCTGAAAACAGCAGACCACCAAGTGATTCTTAAAGAAATCACAAAACACTTTTCTTCTGTGAGATTGATAAGGAGATAATTGTACCGTCTTCCTGTTGTTACACATAATTTACTAGGGACAATGTTGAGTCATCACTCTGTGAATTTCTTCTGGGCTTATGCATTTACTTGCCTTTCTACCTTAATATTTTCTTACATATTTTCTGCAACCAAAATATTTTTAATCAAGAATCTAATCTTAGGGTCCTGCTAATTTTTTGAAGGAAGTTGTTACAGACTCTGGAAATCTAAATCAAAATAAACTCTGTTTATAATGAAAGCCTATGTAGATAGGTAAAATAGGAAAATTTGATAGGTAAGTTATTTATTAATATTTGTATTACTTTATGAAAGAAGACTGCTTTAAATTCTTCTTAGCCTGTAGATTTATGATTATGTTTCTGCACTTCTGAATGTATGCTGACAGTGAAATACAGTTCTCAAACCGTATCTCCTCATGGCTCAGATATTTGTAGTCTGCTACAAGGTTTGTAAGTGCTGAAAGTTTCTGTAAGCTTACAGCCATGATAATGTGCAGATCTGATGGACTGAAGAATGAAAAATGGAAAAAAAATCACCTTAGATACGACAAATCACATGGGAGTATAAGTACCAAAATCATTTGAGAAAACAAAATATATATTGCCTTTTGTATTCAGAATTGCTAATCCCTTGAAGGATATAATGCAGAAGATGACACAGTGAAGCAAGAGGAAGTTAACAATACACGTTATATGTTAAATGGCTTGTACTAAGAATTTCTTCTCTTATTTCTTCTGAGAATGAGGAAATAGAGATTGAACAGTGGAGAGTTAAATAGTTCATGCATTTAAAAATGTTTAGGGTCCCTCAATAAAAACAATGGAAAAATAATTACATCAACATGACAAAATTGATTTAGAAACATACATATTAGTTGTTTTAAAAAAACATGTCTCTTCGAACATGTGAACTTATTGCCAGAATGTCTGTGCTCTTCAGAGCCTTTTGGCCTTGTATGTCTTACTTTATTTTTGTTCCTTCCCCTTTGTTTTTTCTGAAACAGGATATAGCTGACCCTTTTTTTGCTTATTGTAAACAGCATGCAGACAGGTTAGACAGAAAATGGAAGCGGAAGAACTACTTGGCATTACAATCTTACTGTAAAATGTCCTTGCAGGAAAGAGAAAAACAGTTATCACCAGAAGCTCAGGTACTGTGTTCATGACAAAAAAATGTGTCTGTATTACAATCATCTATGTTAAACAAGAAAGAAAGAAAGAGGATGGGAAATTGTTATTATAGTAAGAAATGAAATGTGGAATATATTGATAGTGCGTGGTCATTTACCAAAGCAGTGAACTATTTATAGGTTTTGGTCTCTAAGAACAATTCTCAATTAACTGATTATCAGAGTTGTTTGGCTGAATTGAAAAATAATATTTTGTTTGGTTTTGTGTCAAGAAGTTGGTAATTACATTTTCATTGTAATTCATAGATTTTGTTTAATGTTTTCTTCAGGATTCTTAACAAAAAATAGCCAGACAAGAAATTAGGCATATTTCTACATCCAAGTTTAGTAAAAATCCCCTTTTTTTCCCTTTAACTTGGCAGAAGAGTTTAGCTTGCCTAAAGTTTTATCTTGTTAGATACTTTTTAAATTTCTGTAAGCCTAAGTAGAATTCTATGTGTTGGGTTTTTTCATAGTAAATATTTCTTAGAAAAAAATTATGTAGATGCAGAAACTGAGTCTGCGCTGCTGAGTGTGAGTTGTCTCTAAATGTTAGGCAACATCTGGCAGATCCATGTAAAACTACTAGTTACTGCATAAGCTCAACCGATAAATGTCCTGTTAATATAAAGATTTCAATCCTTCTGGGAGAGCCCGTGTACTCTGGTATGTTTTAATGTGTGTACTTTATTAGTTTTTCCGATTCTGCAGAATTTATAGCAGAATTTGCTTTCACTGCTTTGGCTGAACTGCATTCTGTGGAAAAATCACACCTAAGTAGAAAAGCAGCTCATCTGAACAAATCCTGCCTAATTTTTGCGGAAAGTAGCAGATGCTGTAAATAATGGAAGGCACTTGTGGGAGAGAAATAGCTGGGTTTTTTTCTGAAGGGAGAACCGTAATGAGGAGAAAATAAATCTTCATATTATCAAACTTTTTATTTAAAAAACATCAACGTACCTTTCTAGTTCTTCATAAATCTTTGAATAGGACAAGAGAATATTAATTTAAAATAACCTGTGCATTTGAGAATTAATGTGAGCAACCTCTGTCACAGAATAATTTTTAATAAAATATTTCTATGGGGTATGTGTTGAGCTTTGTGTAGTTCGATTTAAAAGTGGTTACATAATTTTTGCCAAATACACTCGGCTCTCAGTTATGTGAAATGCACCTGCGTAGTGCAGAAATCACAATAATATGAACAATAACCAACATAATGGTAAGTGCTGGTTGTGCAAAATCTGTTTGGGTCTAACAGGACTAATTAGCTCTGTGTTCAGGCATTTGTTATGTAGTGCTGATAAGTTCCTAGTATTTCCCTCTTCCCCCAAACCGAGACCCTGTAGATTTTTTTAATCTAGATTATTTGGATTAAATGTTTAGAAACCAAAAGAATGAATGCTGAAAACTGCAGGTGGAGTTAATTGACATGGTTTCATAGGCATCTTGATATAAATTTTATAACTTGCATACATTTTGTAAACCCACTTGATTTCACTATTGATAGCTCTGTTGTGTGAGTCTGCATTAGTATGGAAATGGAAACAGGTTGGATGCTTGAAAAATAAATTTTGATGTCCAGTTGTATGTATTGGGATTTTGTGAAGTAATTGAGTGGTTTCTGTGCCTTTGTAGAAATGCAGAACTGTAAGGGATACTTAGTAGAAATGACTGACTGGGGAGTTGACACAACGGAGGTATAAGTTCACCCCTTAGCTTACCATATGTTGGCTGCATGAGGAAGTTAAAATCCCACCAGTAGATTCAACAATCTTTGTTAAATTAGAATTTTGTCTGAGAAATAAGAATCTTGAGACAGCTTAGTCTGGAAAAATTATTAAGGGGTGTGTGTGTGTATATATACACACACACACTATATATATTTTTATATATATATATATAAAGTGAAAGCTCACTTATGGTGGAGTTCATAGGATTAGGTAAGGTTTACAAACATTGAGCTAACATACTAAATATACAGTTGTACAAATAATTTATCTGTTATTGTGAAACTGGATTTTTGATGCACACTTTTGAAGGAGAAAAAAATGGGTATTTTGTTCTTTGTAGCCCAGACAGGAATAAGCCAATGGTCTGGCAAGTCCTGTGGCCCAAGAAAGTAAATGCCTCTAAAGAATATAATATATAGAACTATCTAGGGCTGTTATGGATTGTTGGAAGATGTTCTACATTTAAATACTTTATCAATAAAGGAAATGTATGTTCCTTGAGTAAAGTGTATACTTGGAAAATTGCTTAAATCCAAGTAACTTGAGTTCAGGATTCCATTTAGACATTAGTTATTTTAATCTGCCATCTGTTTCTGGAATAAAGCTCTGGGTATGCGGTTGTATGACATCTTAAATGACACCAAGAATTTTAGAACTGAGCATGTAATCAGTAAAGAAGCATCATAGCTGAGGAAGCTATAAACTATCCTTGGTCCTTTTAGTGTAGAATAAAGTGAGGCAGTGGCTTTAGGTGGATTTGTTGCTTGCTGCTGTGGGTCCAAGAAAAGAGACCTTGGCGTCAGAGCTGGCCTGCAAGTCACATTTGCCATGTTTCTTAGTCATTAATGTTCAAGACCTAGTAAGGTAGCATGTGTTAAACTATCTGTAATATTACCTTCAGTGATGCTGTTTGTAATCTGAGTTGTTCCTTAACCATAGGGGGTATATATATACGCACTTCTTTTGCCTTTGTCTCAGGAGTATCTCATGGCATATGGTGGGGCAGTTGGATTAGTTTAGTTTCTTCTTTCTGCAGGCAAGTAAACAACTTCTAACTGATAGTCAGCTGGAGTTTTGCCTCTGAAGATTTGTATGTTGATGTCATTTGCTGCTGTATTTGCCACTACATGGCATTCCCACAAGACGGTTTTCCAACTGTCAGTAACAACTTGATCTTCTGGGGTTGATCTCCCAGATGTTCACAAATATACAGATGTCATCAACAATATATATTGCAAGCTTCTCTTGCCTACTTCACTTCTGTTTGGGTTGTGGTTTTGGCATGTTGTAATCGGCTAGTTTAACATTTATAATGAGATATGGCATTGAGAAAGGAGTTCCTACGAAAGGATGTCACATATGGCAAAAATGCTATTCATCAACTTTCATTGCTTACGTAGATGCCAATTTAAAGGTATCTAAATGTGTTTTTGATAGATCAGCCAAGGCTTTTCCCAATAGTGAGTTCTCACAGTCCCATCAAATTATCATTATTAGAAGGCATTGTCTGAAAGCCAGCAATCATTTGTGTTACTTCTGTTGGTGGGGAAATCTCATCAAGAAACCTGTGAATACCTCCAAAGCCTGGTGAAGGGATAATGGTGCTTGTTTATGCATTTTGAAGTAAAATCAAATGTCTTTATGGGTGGCTGTTTCTTGAGTCATGAAGTTCCAGAATAAATATGGCATTGATTAGGTCACGCGACTTTTAAAATACAAATAAACCGTGGAAGTGTTCCAAAAGGATATAACTCAAAACCAATTTTGAATTGTTCCCTTACATTTTTAATTTATGGAAGTCTTTATTGCAGGCTCGAATCAATGCCAGGCTACAGCAGTATCGTGCCAAGGCGGAGCTGGCCCGCACCACCAGGCCTCAGGCCTGGGTTCCCAGGGAGAAGCTACCACGGCCGCTTACTAGCAGTGCTTCAGCCATACGTAAGCTTATGCGCAAAGCGGAGTTAATGGGAATTAGTACAGACATTTTTCCAGTGGATACTTCAGATACAAGTTCCAGTGTTGATGGAAGAAGAAAACATAAGCAACCAGCTCTCACTGCTGATTTTGTGAATTACTACCTTGGTAAGAATGGAAATTACTTATTTTTCGCAATGAAAAATTACCACTTTGCTCTGTCTGTACTGTGCTGATTATTTATTTTTTTTAATTTTACTTTTATTTCTTTGTTATTAATAGATAAATATTAATTATGACTTCATTTTAGATCAGGTACATGATTGCTTATTATCTGTATTTACACACAGTAATTTTTTTTCTAAAAAGATATTTCAGAAAAGAAGGAAGTTTTCCAGATATGAACAGGAGGTGGTATCTTTGCTAAAAAAGGAGTGGAAGCTTAGGTACCTTTGGTGTAACTTGTTTTCCTTATGTTTTCCTCCCTTTCTATGTGGAATGGCATAATTTTGTCTTTGGGATTGTTTACTAGATAACTGATCACAGCTCACCATTTAAATAACTATAGTAGTTATGCAGCAGAAAGTAAGTGTTATGACTGTTCATTCTACTCAGTCTGTGTAATAAACCTACAGACTGTAGTTTTATGGGTTTGTCGTACAGTTTTATGGTTTTCATTGCTTCACTTTTTTCAGTGTATAAAGCTTGAAAATGTGGCAAAGGATAGGGAATAATGCAATTTTCTTTTAAATAGAGAGAAATATGCGCATGATTCAAATCCAAGAGAATATGGCTGAGCAGAAGAATATCAAGGATAAATTAGAAAACGAGCAAGAAAAGCTTCATGTGGAGTATAATAAGGTGAAGAAAAAGGGATCCTAAACTGTTGTAGCGTTTTAATATTGCTGCTGTTAACTTTGATAGCATTTTGATTTCCAAACAAAATGACTATAAAAAAAAACCAAAACAAAACAAAACACCAAAAAACATACAAAGCATTCTTTCTGCTTTTAAAAATGTTCTGTCATCCACCCTCCTCCCCCTGTTCCCTTCCTCCCCACCCCCATGCAATCAGAATAAACTTCTAAAGTGTCATTTGTTGGCTGGGCACGAGTTCTTTAACTGACCCCACTGAGAGCGCCAGTGACAAATTGCGCATGGGCATACAGGTCTCCTTCTTCATTTGAGATTTTGAGACCGCCAAGTTTGATTTCTCTCTCTTTCTCCAACTCCAGTTGTTGTTCATTCTAGATTTAATGACTTAGCTAACTTTTCAGGCAGAAATAATTCAGCATTCACATCTGTAGTGTCCTCTGAGTGTTTTGTTTGAATATAGGAAATTTGGGGCCCATAAATGATGGCATTGCTACCCTAAAATGTTGCTAATGTAATTTTTTTATTAACTCATCATCATGCTTAAAAAAACATTTTGTGTTTTAATTACGTTTTTACTGGATACTTGTCTCTTTATTTTAATCCTTAAATATTTTGAAGTCTTACATTGAAATACTTTATCTTTTCTGACAGATTACATGCTGGCAATTCTTACTGAATTCAGCAACCTATCAAGTGAGGGTTAGACAAAAAATAATGTTGCTATTAATTCTTAAAATACTGGGGGTATGTTTTAAATGAGAACATATGGAAATGAAGTAGCAGGTCCTTGTGAACTGCCCGAAGATGATCAAGGTCCCAGAAATGAGTTTCATTGTTTTTTTAATCCCACAGTAATGCACCCTAGATAGGTAAAAGGTTGAATAAATTGTATTAAATAAATTGTATTAAATTGTATTAAATTCCTAATGGAATTTCATTCCTGATGATTTTTTTCTTTAACTTTTCAGCTGTGTGAGTCCTTGGAAGAGCTACAAAATATGAATGGAAAACTGCGAAATGAAGGGCAAGGAATTTGGGCCCTGCTGGGTAGAATCATAGGACAGGTTGGTTGTTTCTCTTCCCTCACCCCCCTTATAGTTCATTGGCAGACCTGGTTTTCCAAGAATAGGTCTTTCTGTTTCTGTCTGTCATTTCTATGGCCAGATAAATTGATTTGATCAGACCCAGGTTGTACTCTGGGGATAATGTTTCCTAACTGAAATATCTAGACTTCTGCAAACCACCTAGTGGGAACCTGTGGTTTAATTTTGTTGTTGTAATAGTGATCTTCTTTGCAGAATTTTTTCATTTGCTATGACTGATTGACTTGTCATTTGTGATGAACTTCAATGTGAAGATTGAGTTAATCCTACCATTTTTGTCTCCCCATTGCCTTTAGTTACTGTAGGCTTCAAATAATATTGTAACTCTTTATGGCTTTTATGAGATAGCAATCTTTAAAACTGTAGTATGTGTGTATGTGATGGTTTATAACTGGACAGAGCAGAATATCTTGGTCAAATAAATCTAAATATCTAGGAGAAGAGAGGATTTGCTGGATGACTTCCTGTTACCAGCAATTGCCTTTGTTCTTGTCGATACACATAGAGAAGAGAGAGAAGTATAGATTCTTCTGTGTTTTGGTATATATTTTATGTCAAAAGTATTAAATGGCAGTGGACATTTTAAATGTCAGAGAGAGACTGAAATTATTTCCAGTTATGATTTTAAGGAATCTTGAAGAAACTGGCCATTGTGAAATTGCAGATGTACAATTAGGTCACAGTTTGATCGTGCCCTTTGGTACTACTGTGTTTGTGCTCCTGTTAAGAAAATGAGGCTTACCCTTTCTTTATATAGTAGTAGTTCTTAAGGTATGCTAGCCTCTTCTGGTTCTATTTGTCTGCCTATCTTTTCTACTTGTGAACAAGGGTTCTCACATAATGTATTTCTTGAATCGAGATAAAATTTTTTTTCCTGCTTTTTAAGATGGTTTTAAGTATTTGCAAATATGTTTTCTGGTACAGAAGTTATTAAATTAAAAAAAAAAGAAAAAAAGAGTGAGAGAAGAAGAAAAGTTAAGTAGAATTCATTTGCACAGCTTGCACGACATTTTTTTCCAGTTGGTTGAACAGATGCAGACCCATGGGGCTGCTGAGAAATGACTTTGATAGATGGTTGCTGTCTGAGAAGTTAGCATACTGCAGATTAGTAGAAACCTGAAGAGAATCTTGTCTGCTTTGTGGAGGGCTTGGTCCAATAAGATAATTTTTCTAATTAACCTATCGAGCTTTTAATGTTGGGGAAAATAAACTGCCTGAGTATTCTTCTGTCAATTTTGTGAATTTGCTTTTGCTTGTATTAGCTGCCTACACAAACGCATCCTTGTCCATCCCGCTATTTAAAGCTTGAAGAGAAATTTTAAAAGCTATTATTTCAATGTTGGGTTTTTTATTTATTAAATTGAAAAAATTAGTATAATATTACTTTATCCCAGTATGCTTTTACAATCAAAACATCTGTAGTTGTTCTTGTCTGCAAAATAGCTAGCTAAGCAATTTCCCACTCAAAATTTGGGGGTTGTTCTTTGTGTATTGAGATTGGAAAGGTATTCTCTAAAAGTTTCAAGACTCATCTATACTGCATTTGTTCAAATCCAATAGAAATTGAACATACCAGCAATTTTACGTGCTCCTAAGGAAAGGAAACCAAGTAAAAAAGAAGGAGGAACGCAAAAGGCATCTACGCTTCCGGCTGTACTTTATAGGCAAGTAATGAAGTCTTAACAGAGTAGATTCAATACCTAGTAAGTTATAGTTTCACAAAAGTGTTAAGAGAAATTTGTTTGCTTCAGGTTTGATAAACAGAATGCTTCAGAGATGTCTATATATTTTACTTGCTTCTGAAACTAAGTTGAATAGTATTCAGTTCTTCACCATAGCACACTTCACTGAAGTTTGGATTTTTTTTTTTTGTCTAATTTGACAGGAGTGCTTAAAAGACAGAGGTAACTCTTGAAAGCTGAAATAGAAGGGCCCTTTTTCTCACTGATGTGAAAATATTTAACCTGTCATCTTGTCTTTTGAATGCAGTCACCTGTTGATGATTTTGCCAACAATGCTGCTGCAGTTTACTCACAGTGGCTGGGTGTATAAAACACTTGTCATATGAGAATTTTTACTTATTGCTCATGGGTTGTCAAATGTCAAATATCTTGTGTTTTAAATTTCCCTATTTCTATTTATATTAATTCCAAAAAAAAAAAAGTATTCCCTATCTCTGTCGTCATTCCACCTTTTCCCCTCTTCTGTAAGTTGTGAAGCTACTGACTGGGTTTTAACTAAGCCTAACCGTGGAACTTATACTAGGATCTGGGCAAACTATACGTACCATCTTGGATCTTCTTCTCTTGCCACCAGCTGAGAAGTGGCACAGTCTATCACTTACCTAGAGAGCAGCAGCCAGGTCTGCAGCCACTGCAAGTGGGCAGCATCTTGCCCGGCTAGCAGGCTAAATGGAGATGATGGGTTACATAAGCAAAAGTTAATTCCAGTGCTATGAAAGCTGGAAATCTTGAGAGAACACGGCAGTGGGATGAGGAATTGGTAGTTTAGATGTATACACAAACAAATAATAAGAGTCATGCTTTACTAGTTCAGTTTCATTCAAATCAAGTCATTTAGTTCCTCCCATTTTATAATGGAATCAGTGAACACCTGATCTTTTTGAAATAACTAAAATTTCAGTTCCAGTAAAATAATAATAAAAATGAAATGTAATTTCTTACGTGTTGATATGGTGCCCAATGTAATAGCAGCACAGACTTATTTAAGGGTGCTTGCATTATTAAAATGAGCATATAATTGTTAAGACTGATAATAGCAGCGTAATTTTTCTATTTGGATGGCACAGGTAGTAATTTGTCCGTTTGCCACTGGTACACTTTGTTGCAGTATCAAGTGATTACGTAGTGGTTAGAGGTCCTCAAAAAAACAGATGGGAAGCCTTTTTATTAACTTCATTAGGTCCCTTTTATGCTTTGCTGTCTATAGGTAGAAGTAATTACGCACTTAAATGGTGCCTTCAAATTGAAGTTGCCACATGTTTGTATTGAATCTTGGGGATGTGCTGGAATGTATCGTTTATGATTTCAAATGTAATTATAATACTTTTCTGCTGTCTACCTTAAAAGTTGTGGAATTTGCAAGAAGAACCACGATCAACACCTACTGCTACTGTGTGATACTTGTAAACTCCATTATCATCTTGGTTGCCTGGATCCACCTCTTACAAGGATGCCAAGGAAGACCAAGAACAGTTACTGGTAAGAAGGAAGTTGATCTGTTGTCTTGTGCTGTCTCTGTACTTAAAGCAGGATTAAGTGTGAATAGACTTACAAATCCTGAGTGTTTCAGACTTTGCTATAATGCAGTCTGAACTGAGTTATTTTATTTTCAGGCTATTAGCAGTGATATTTCAATGTAAAAAAAATTGTAAATATTCTTCTCATAATTAGCCACTATGTAGAACTAGATTATAGCATTAATTTTCCTAGCTTTTGAGTCCACTTATTATTAATGCTGCTGTATAATAAAGATAGGAAACTAGGCTTCCTTCAGGAAATTAAAGCCTTAGTCTCGTGTTTATCTTAGGACCCAAATATGCAGCTCGCTGTCCAGATCTTAAGGAAGATACTTGTACATACCTAAGCTTTTAAGCAGTAGATCAATTTACCAAGCAGTTAGGTTACTTGGAAACATTTTTTTTTTTAAATTTTGGTAACTTCTGCATTTGAACAGGAGGTTCTTGATTTTGTTCTGCTTTTTAACCAAGTTGGAAAGGCTCACAGAAAGCCATCAGTCCAAATGATGTAAGACTACATTTCTCAGCAGGCGTTAAAGGCAGAATAGGTCAGGTTAGGTAGTAAAACGCTTTTATTTCAAAGCTATAGCTTACCTTTGTTGTGAATTTCATACTTCAGTTAGATCACAAACTTAGCTTTTACTTCTAATTAACTAAGGCATATTCTGGAGTGTGAGATTATAGCAGACAAATTGAGCTGTATTGATTGCATTCTTTTCATCATTGGACATGCCTTTATGCATTCTATTCAGGACCAGTAGAAAGCATATGAATGGGCCCTTAA